TTTTGGAAGAAACCTTAGTAACAAGGCCAAGTAAAAAAAAAAAAAGTCATTTTTTTAATGACCTCTTTGACAGAATGTTTGTACCACTTTTTTCTATGGGTGTTACTTGTTTTCGAAGGGTTCATGTTAAACAGATGTCTTTGTTGTTTCATTTTTTCATCAAACTATACAGACTTTATAACAAAGAAAACGGGGAAAATGAATCAACTGTGTTCATTTCATTATTCAGAAGTCTTCTGTATATTATCGAAAAAAGATAATTCAAAACTGGAAAAAATCGACAAAAAAAAGGCAGGGAGATGGCTGCAAAAAAGGTAGTGGGCAGCTACGCTAAACATGTATTTTTTTATTTGGCCTAATAGCTAAATTCATTTTGAAAGATGAAGTATTAAGTTACAAAGAATTGGAATTTTCTTTTCTCAAGCACATGAAGGTAGAATGCTCATTTGGATCTTATTGTTTTCATGCTATGGATCCATGTTTATACTTGGTATCAAAGTAGATGACAGTGATACACCATACAGACAATACTGTAAAAATCACGTCTAACACTTACATTACTTATCTACTTTGACACAGAGTGCGAAGTCTAAACCATGAGATCCTAAACGTTGTAAACAGGCGTGTTCCAATTATTTTTGTGGAGAAAGAAAATCCATCATTTCTCTTTCTTCCCATTGTAACATAATATTAACAACATATAACTTTCTTACAAGCGTTTTCGTTTGATTAATACACGTTATGTATAGAATTGTAATATAATAATTATTTTAAATATTTGCTCTAAAAATGCTATTCAATTAAATATAAAAACAATACGGCTCGCTGTGTACATTGCCGCCCATGGCGCAATACCGGTGGGTTTCCAAATATTATCATTTTGACCGTAAATTAAAAAAAAAGTTTCACAGAGAGAAGTATACAATGAAAAATATTTATAAATCTGATCTGAGTTATGTTACATTACTGTCAATAGGAAAAAATTGAGAGAAATATTAAAATTTATTTTCTCTCGAACAAAAGCGTAGAGATAGAAGTAGAACTTACAAGTTCGCTCGTGTACGTCTTTATTTTATCTAATTTCTGTAGTGCATATTGATGTACACAAGACATTATTATTATACAAGTGTTATAAGGTCGATGATTACTAGTATTAATACATCTTTGTTTAGTAGTGAGCAACAATACATACTATGTCACTTTGACTAAGCACTACTTACCCCGATAAACCTACGAATGTTTTTGAGCTTAAGTCCAAATATCCCGTCATTGCTTTTCAATTTCATGTTCAAATTTCAGCTTAAGAAATTTAAAGTTTAAGATCAACTTTAACTTGGATACCGAGACTGAGTTCTAACGAAATTAATTAATAATGCTACTATAACATTTGATTCATATTTTTTAACTATCGCAAATTATTATTGTGTTAGAAAAAAATCAAAATAGTCTTAAATTTGAATACAACATTATTGGTCTCTTATCCGCTATGAACATGGTTTCTGTTAGTGTTAAGCGTTAATATAACAGTTCTCGTTTAATCCGAGATCTTGTGAGATGAATTAGTTTTTGAGTGGTCATGGCTACAGCCAAGTGGGCTCATCTTTCACATAATGTATTGGAAATAATATTCGGTTTCTTGGACTTAAATGATATACGATGTTGTTATCTAGTGTGCAGACATTGGTATAAACTATTGAATGACGAAAACAATGATGTTTGGAGGATGCATTGTGTACGAAAACTTGCAGAAGATGCACTCAAATCGGATGTATTAGTGAGCGCTCCAACTTATAAAGCAAAACTTCGCGCATTTTATCATGCTTGGGATCCTAGTGAGTGCTCCAGAAATATATACATTAAATCCAATTGTTTTACCCTACATAGAAATCCAGTTGCCCAGAGTACTGATGCCGCCAAAGGAAAATTAGGTTTCAACACTGGCCGTCACTGTTGGGAGGTTTGGTGGGAGGGACCTTTGGGAACAGTTGCAGTTATAGGAATTGCTACAAAAAAAGCTCCAATACAATGTACAGGTTATGTTGCGCTGTTAGGATCTAATTCTGAGAGTTGGGGGTGGAATCTCGTAGATAATCTTTTACTTCACAACGGTGATAGTCAAGGGAATTATCCACAGTTAAATAATGCTCCAAAGTATGAGGTAAGTAAAGTATTAGAAGCTATACATATGGAGCAACTAAGAATTTTACAAAATTTTCTGGGTCTAAAAATATTAAAATTTTCAAAGCATAATGATTTATGTAACTTGAAAATTGTTATGTCAGTCTGTGTTTATTTTTTGCATGATTCAGAAGAGTTCTTGAGGTTGTGGAATATTGTTCAATACCCTTAATAAGTTAATTTGACTTAAAATAAGACCCAAAACTCGAGCACTTTCGAATAGTTGTTCCTGAAGAAGAATAGTCAACTGTTCGAAAGCTTTCGAGTTTTGGGTCTTATTTTAAGTCTATTACACTTTATATGTGTTCCTTTGTGCTAACTCTTTTATCAAAATAAGCTAATTTGTATATTGAAATGTAACTTGTGAAGGTGATAACGGTTATGTCCCTCACTTTAGAAAAGCAGACTTAACAAAAAATTAAACATTTTTTAAAAAGAAAAAGTTAATGTAGCTTTAAGAAAGACTTCAAAGGGAATGAATAGTTTTCTGATAACTTACTTTTTTTATGTTATTATATATACGTGTAAATTTTAATGAAGCAAGGTATTTTTTTATATAATCAGATGCTGCTGGAAAAAAATGTATTCATTTAAATATTTGTCTTTTATACAAAAGTCTTGTCCAGAATATATGATGAAGGAAAGTAAATTATTAATAAATGTAAACATCTAATTTGTACGAGTGTGAAATTATTGCAAAAACAAGAAAACTTTGTATTAGCATTGAGAAATGTAAAGTTATACATATGGGGAGTGGACTTAAAAAATGACATAGCTGTACATGTATTATAAAAGAAACATTGGAATATGAGAAAATAAGAGAAGAATTTAGGTATGATTTCTGATAACAACCTAAAGCCCACTTTTAAGTGTATATTGTAGCTCTGGTGAGAACACACAGTTTTATAACACCTTTTATAAAACTCTGGTGTATCCTTATTTTAAGCACCATATGCCATTTTAATCTCATTACTATAAGAAAGATTCCAGAAACAGATTACTAAAATGATATCTGGTGTTTTCTCTGAAGTATAGAAGAATTTGGGGTGACTTAATTTTTTGTTTCAAAATTGTCAGTGTTTAGGGGTGCCTTTATCCAAAAGGGAAAACCTTATGAACAAAATTCAGCAAATTTTTGAGACAAGAAAACTCCTTTTCTAAAATCATTCTTTTTATCAATCACTATTGAAGCCTCACTTGGATTATTATGTACAGTTTGGTCTTATCTAAAAAGTAATATTGATTCATTAGAAACAATACAATGGAGGGCTTCTTGCATGATTCTGGGGAGGGGTAATCTTACAGAGAAATATTTTATATTACTATCCCTTGAGAAAGCAAGGGTAAGAAATCTTATTAAAGTTTACAAGATTATCAGGGGGATTATTATATAAAGCCTCTGATAATACAAGTTTAAAATTTGGAAAATATAAGCTAAGCCCAAGTTAAGACAATTTTATTTTTCTAACAGGGTGATTGACTTATGGAATGAGTTGTCATTGGCACTTGTAGAGGCTATCACTTTACGAGAGATTATGAGAGGAATAATTTATTTCCTAACAGTTATGGGTTTAAATTTTTACTTTCAAAATGATCTACTTACCTCTTTGCACACAGTAGCTATTTCTTGCACGTGCCACTAGTCTTGAACTATCTCCCAACCTAAATTACATGTTTTTGATAGGAACTGCACTAGTACATGATGCAATTTCATGCAGCAATAGCCCTCCACCAATAAGAAGACGATACATCCTTCTCATGCAGTAGATCCCTATAAGTACTTGCACTGGAAATTAACTTCATTCTTAAATTTGGCACTGACATCAACAGATGTGTTTAATATTTTCTTTATTTTTGAAAGCTTTGGCATGGCCTTTATGATTGTTTAATAATCTTTAATATCATAGTTCCTGTCTTTCAGTACATGCCTATTTTTCATTTTTGACTTTTGTAAGATTTATAATTCTATTTCTCACTTTTGCTCATTTCTGATATATATATATTAAACTACTAGCTGTTTAAGGGTTACCTTTCACATTGTTTTTCAACCCTACTAACAGAAATTATTCTATACCTTTTACTGTACTTCAAATATTTTCATGCATTAAGTGTTTTCTGTATGTTTCTATACTCAAATTTCTATGCCTAAGATCTATTACTTTGCCAGGCCACTAGCCTTTCTCTAAGATTCTCTTAATTCCACAAACCTGTACATAACAGTTGTTGCTTTAAAAATAAGTTCAAGGACATTTTTGTGCAATTCTACACTATGAACTCTGGTGTTTCTGCAGCTCCATCTTCTTGAGGTTCTAGGTCTGCAGATGAAGGGGGAATTGAATTTGAACTGAGTCTAATTAATTGCCTCTACTATGCTGTTTTGCAGGACTTTACATACCATACAACAAATGTGTTAAAATCCTCACAGCTTCTACCATGTTTGTGGCTGCTTAGGGTTCTTTGTCTGTGGAAGATGTTACTGCCAGTTTTCACAGTTTAATAGATTTTGCCTTCCTTTCCAGTTCCTCTCATTCCTATGCATTTTTCATTTCTGAGTCTGACAATGAGTTTGACATTTTCATTCAGCTATATCCACAGCCTGGTTTGCTCTGGCATCATCATTCCATGTTGATGGACACGTCATTACTTTCTATCTTAAGTGATTGTGTCTGGTTTATACAATGTTTTAACTTTCTCCTATGTCCTATGAATCTTCTTGATCTTTATTCCATACTTTTAGGTGATAGTTTTATTCTTTTCCCCTTCTCTTGACTATAGTATCCATAGTGAGATCTTGTCTCAATGTTATTCCTACTCTTCCCCTCCTCATTCCCAAAATTCCTTTAACATGGCTTACAGTTGCTTCCCTTCAGCCTTTTTGGATCTTCAATTCCTAGAATACCTTTTCCTGCTGGGGTTTTGACCCTCTGCTTCCATTATCCTTTATCAGGGCTTACTTCTCCTGGCTTTGCTTTTTCCTTGCTCTATTTCTATACTATCTGTTCTTTCCTATCTCCTATCTGAGACCCTCCTCTGATATCTAGATAGTTTTTCTTGGGTATCTTTTGTCAGTCTTTTTCTGTACTTAGGCCAGGGTCTTTGGCTCTTTCTTTCCTGATATGATTTCTGTGTAGTTGAGAACTCTTCAGATGTGAAAGTCTTTCTCTGTCATTCACCCTCCTCAATCTTCTGTATGTGGCTTGCATCTCACTCTGCTCATTTGCCATAAGGTGTTTTGTCACACCTTGTAGTCTTAGGCAGAAGCTATTTGCCATCAAGTTTCTCTCACTTCTTTAGTCTCCCATTTTGCCCATTCTTGTGCATCCCCTCATGTTTCTTGGTCTATGTACTTTCGTCCTCTCTCTCCTTTCCTCTTCCCACCCCTCTGCCTTCTCTCACTGTTCCATCTCCCAGAGCAGAAGCATTTGTTGATCCTGTCAGTGACTACTTCTCTTTGTACCCAGTTGGCTCAAGTCGTATGGGGGCACTTCTATTCTTCTTTATTAAACTGGGGACTCTTTTCATAACTAATCATTCGGTCAGTTAGGTTCTTACCCACTGTCTCTCTCTTTTCTTCTCTTCCTAGTCTTCTCCTTTCCCCATTGTTTTTCCTCCATTTTTCAATTCCAAGCATCTCCAACCATTTTTAGGACACAATGTTGGAGCTCTTGGTTTTGAAGGGCATCACTTTCCCCTCTTTGGATTACTATTCCTCTTTCTTCAACATCTTCTTGAATCCTTGGGACTGACATCCCCTCATTGTACTTCTTCTCTGAACCACTTCTGATGATTCCCCAGTTTCAGATAAAGGGTTTTCTTCCTATTAATAGGTTGTTTTCCTCCAGCCTTTAGATGAAGATGTTCCATGTCTCAGATACTTTTCTTCACATTTCAATAGCCCCATCATCAAGATGTCTCCTTTGGCTGGTCTTATTTTCTTGGTTGCTCTTTTGGTTCCTGATCTCACAACATGGCTGTGGACATCCACAGCCTGTATTGGTCTTTTCTCTGTGTGTTCTCAGCTATCCTCTTCCTCTACCTGTCTTGGAAATGTTTTGTGACACTCTTTGTTGAGATCTGTTGATAGCACCTTATTGGCCAGCTTTGTCTTTGTTTTCTCTTCTCCACTGATTGCAATTTTAGACACTTCTTTTTCCTTCATTGAGGTTTCTCTTGCTCCAGTCTTCTACTTTATTTTTTCATATGGGAGTGTTGTCCCTTTATCCATGTGCATGGGATTGCCCATTTCTTCCTTGATGGGTGGATTCTCATATTGTATTGCCCTTCTTGTTATACTGCTAATTCATCTTTTGACTATCAATGTTCCCCAATACAAGTGGCATTTTTATTGCCACTGTTCCATCAGGCACTTTCTGCCTCTGGGTTGTCCTTCTGTTGCCCATCTTTCTGAATACTTTACCAGGTTGTTTAACCAGATATTGTACTCTCTCCAGTAAATAGACCTCTGCTGTGGTTACGTCTGATTGGGTCCAGGTACCTCTCTGGGGTATCCCTAATGTGAATTCTGCCCCTTGACTTGGAGAGTTTCTCACCAGTTGTGAGATCCCTCCAGCAGAGAGAGAATCCAAGTGGACAGCACAATATGGTGGAAAGTAGCGCAAGAGTGTCCATGTAAGTGTAGGGCAGGATGTGACAAAGTTTTTTTCTTAAGAAGCAGGAAGGGACCTGCATGTGTAGTGAGTTAATTGTACAATAGACAATACCAAACTGTATTGTCTGATCATTTTCCTAGCTACACTACACTTCATGTCCAGTCGACCCATTGTGTGCAAGTACTTGGTTGGTTGGTCATATCTTTTTCTGCCCATCCCTATGACTCTTTGACTCATTTTCCCTTCCTCTTTTCGTACTTCTATGTGGGTGAAAAGTATACCCTGCATGAGATGGATGTGGTCTCCCACGAGTGTAACCCCTTTAATAAGCTCCCACTATAGGGTGTCACACTCCACAGTCTTTCCTCTTTAGTTGCTTTCTCTAAAGGGAGTTCAATTAGACTTTTGTAATTACACCATCCTCTCCATCACATCAATGTAGGATTCTAGCTAATGTATGCAGAGAGACAAGTATATCATTTTGGAAGTTAAAATTTTCCTTACTCAGAAATGTATTTCTGATAGATACCTCTCTGCACACCTTCCCACCCTTCCTCCTCACTATCACTAATGTATGCAGAGAGACAAGTATATCATTTTGGAAGTTAAAATTTTCCTTACTCAGAAATGTATTTCTGATAGATACCTCTCTGCACACCTTCCCACCCTTCCTCCTCACTATCAGTGCACATTATTCTTGTCTCATCTAAGAATGAATTGAATTTCAAGTGAAAGTGCATGTGGGGATCTACTGTGTATGTATAACCCTCCTATTGGTGGAGCTATTGCTGCATAATGATTACATCATGTATTAGAGCAGTCACATCAAAACACATGCATACTGTGTGTAGAGAGGTCCGTATATTTCAGAAATACATTATCAGGTAAGGAAAATGTAAATTTTTCTCAAAGGAGGATGTGCAAGGGCAGTCTTGAGGACCAAATGGCTCTTTCTTGTCTTTAGATTATGTTTACAAAGTGTGTAAAAAAATGAAAGAAGAACAGCCATCACTCACAGTTATTGTCCACAATCTTAGAAGTAACAAGTGAATGTCCTGAAAGTGTATGGTCACTTCTTAGAAAGTTCACCAGAGGAAAAGCATTTTCTTCTTATTCAATTGTTTTTTTTTAATATATTTTCAAAGGCTTGTTGAGGAGTTTTTCTTGTCATGAATGGGGATTTTTTTTGAATAGCTTAAGTAAAGAAAAAACTGCTTGAAGTCTCATATTGTTAATGACATCATGCACGTTGCTACTGGTGGATCTCCTAGTCAAAAAATTGGATCCACCAGCAGTTATACTGATTGCTGTTACATTTCTGGCCATGTATAGGCAAAAGAGGAAATACAGGGCATGTTGGACTCTGAATATCTATAGGTTCACTTACACAAGAAAAAGGAGGAGAAGAACATTATGTTAAGTTACTTTACACACGTTACTTTGTATAATTTATTCCTGGGCAGCTTTCTTTCAAGTTTGGGCATGTAAAAATTTACAGCATGTTCAATGGGCATGTAATATTTGAAACTTTTGCCAAGCTTTGATATTATACTCCTCCTATTATATAAATTACACAACTTAAATAATCCCAATTATGACAGCATAAAGTTTTAAAAAGGAACATAAAGCTTAAAAATGTGAGTACTGTATATTGTTTTACATTTTTATGCTTGAAGCTTCTTTTTAATGCCTATTGTGGATCTGTAATGTTTGTCTGTTTTGGCAAAGGATGTCATAAAATAGCTTTATGAATCCCAAAAAGAATGAAAACCTTTTTCCATCTCTGTCCGAGTTGTTTTGTTAGTAACTCTTTATTTAATAACATACTGTAGCTTTAGAATATTTATTTTATTCCTCGGTGTTTAATTTTGTATGTATGCTTGTATTATAATAGCTCATTATTCTAATTTGAAATTACTTTTAGAAGGGTGAACGAATTCGAGTTATTTTGGACTGTGAAGACAGTACCTTAGCATTTGAACGCAATTATGAGTTCCTTGGTGTTGCATTTCGTGGACTTCCTGACAAGAAGTTCTACCCAGCTGTCTCTGCAGTTTATGGAAACACAGAAGTGTCAATGGTGTATTTAGGTCACCCATTGGATGGTTGACACAAATATATATGTATACAATCGATTTCATATTAAAATACCCAAGTGATCATAAGGTATGTTATAAGTATTGGTTTATTTTAAACTTACATTTACATGTTCTTTTTCCTATTTTTTAATACATTATAAATACATGTGATGCACTCCATATATGTTAACTTTCACTGTTCATCCGTCATGTGTTAAACATTTTTTTACAGTATTTGACATTTACGTGGCATTCTATTTGTATGTTTTGCAACACGTTTATGATAATAACAACAAAAGTGTTATCACATAAGTTATCCACATTTGAGTCTTTTGGATTTTACAAGGCTGTTTAAGGTCACATGTAAAAAAAAAACATTTATGCAATAGTTTATATTAACATTCTTAAAAAAATGTTTTACTCATTTCTTTTTAAAGACCTCATACTGTAATGTAGACACTTATGTATGCATACATGTAACATTTCAGCAGTTGCTGTTTTTGAAATTAACCCATATATGGGCTTCAAGAAAAAAAATCCCATCATAATGTATAATGAAATAATGAGATGAAAAGCACATTATACATATTTTATATTATCAAAAGTATTGTGAAGAAACACCTCAGACAGCATTGCAAAACATCCCAGTAAGATTTATTTAGATGCTGGTTGGGGTTCTCTAACCAAAGCAAATTCTGAACATTATTTGTTTTAGTTTATGCTGAACTTTGCATATTATTCCTTTGCTGTAGACAATACAGCACTGTCCAGGCAGTCTAAATATGACAAATCATTTATAGATTTCTGTGTTACCAGTGGACTAAGTCTAGACCAGCCTAAAGAGATGCACATCATGATACTACCCCATCTGTTTTCCTGATTGAAATAACAGTCACATGGAAAGTGTTCATCAGCTTTCCATTAGAAACAAGCATTCCTTTCTTCACATGGTAGTTTTTCATTGTTGTTCATCTACATTTTGATGCTTAAGATGTCTTGAGATCTGACTTATTACATTTGACTTGTGAGTTGCTTATAGGCTTCAGCATGTCTATGAAATCCACCAACTTGGAGCTTTTTGGTTATAGTGAATATGTTGCCCTATAGTGTTTAATATTCATTTAATGCCAGATCTGCAGTTTTATTTCATGGTATGTTTCTAAGTTTGCTCAGACTGAGGGCTGATTATAGTTGGTCAAACATAGTAACATTCCATATTAACACATATAACATTCTGACATTTAGGTATAAGCAGAGAGGCTGGACATCACAACCATTCTCAATGTCATTGCTACATCCAATAACTATTCTACTTTCAACATCCATAAGCTTCTTTCTCCGTGACCACTTGACTCATATTAGCTATCTGTAGCAGCTACTAACCTTTATTAACCATACACAACAGTGCTTCATGGAATTCAAATGTATTTTACATGCATATTATGTGACAATCACTGGTTGAGGTGTGCCTTCTAATACTTTTGGTAATATACATGTAGTGTATATTTCAGAAATTATACTAACTTCTCCACAGAACAAATAGCCATTTCCTCATGTTACTGCTGAAAAAAGTTTTTGTACTTCTAGCAAGCTTTTGAATGAAACCTTCCCTATATGTAATAACATGTACTATGCCAGTCTGTAATGCAATCGCAATTAGACTGTAGTCCTCCACCAATGAAAGGCAACACATCCTCCATGAGCAATACTCCTATTAAGCACATTTTGTATACCAAAGGCTCATTCTTTCCTCATCACTACACTGTTTAGATGTGTTATTTTCTTAAGCCTTTTGTCAAACAAAGGATCTTTTGCACTGCACTTGACTTTTACATTGAAAATAATTTCAGTTAAAGCTTCTAATAAGAATTATTATCTTTCTTATATTATTTTTATTTTCGCACATAAACAAATCACAAGATTTGGGAAAAATGTGTTTTTGAAATTGTGATTTAGTTTCCTGGAATGGACTATTAGTCATCATCATAAACTTTTGGATAAGGTATAGGCAGACATCAGTAATCAATCTTGGTTTCATCAAAGAAAAGAAAGTTTTCAATAAATTCATTCATAGATGTTATTGAATGATGATTCTTGTATTCATGTTTCTTTCCTGTTTCAGTTCCACATTAACTCTCAGTTACCACATCCTCCACAAAACTCCTTCTCTGTGGTCTATAGTTGGGATCCTTTGACTTTCATAGATCTCCCGACCTATGAGTCCTTCTTCCTGACTGGGGGTTCTTCTTCTTATCATATTTTGACTCTCATCTCTTCCTCAATCTTACAGTCTCCTGCTTCTTGTAGCTTTTGCTGATTCTGCAATGTCTTTAGATGTTTCTGTCCAGCTCTTCCCACCCCGAACTTAAGATTCCATCTCTGTGGCCTGTTGTTGGACTTCATCCTTTTTTTAGTGTTCCTATCCCTTGAGTTTCTTCTCTGAACTTGGAAATTTTCGATACAGTACTTCCTTCCCCTCACAAGATTAGCTTTTTCCATTTTGTGCTTCTCTGTGTATATTCAATATGATTTTTATATAAAGCATGCCACAAGACTTCTGCACCCCCCTATTGAAATCAAAGATTCCAGCATGTCTCTCATGCAAATCATCATGTGTCATTTCTCCACCAAATAGGAGAGCACTACTATCACATGACACATGTGACTCCCTCTATGCGCCACTACTGAACCATCAGTTCTTGTTTGGCAGTGCTCGAGTTCAGACATTTTTCTTTTTGCTCATTACTTCTCAAAGTGGTTTAACTTAATTTTATTTACTTTATTTCAATAATTTTTTTCACTTTATTTTCAAAAGCATTTGATTTATTTGTGTTTTGCCGCAAATTTGCCACTTGTTTGTTTAGTATCAAGAATGAATTACGAAGTTAATGTTACCAAGTCAGGTACATCTCATTCGTCTGATGCCGTACATCAGGCCAAAGGTGTGGGCGACCTGTCAGGGGATTTATCAGACTTTATTCGCAGTGAGATTGAGCATTATATGGGACAACCTTTGTCTCCTGCTGTTACCCCTCTTCCTCCTGAGCCTTTTGAGCCTGGCCAGGCTGACAAGGATTTTGATTGTTTGTACCCCCAGGAGTTCTTCGTGCCTTCCCAAACCCTACCTGAAGATTCTTTTCAGCCCTTGTCAGATTTATATTTCTCAGGTATGTGATGTTTTGTCTATTGCTTCAACATTTTAGGACCCATGCCCTTCCCTATTACATGATTCTGCCTCCCAACTTTATTTAGTTTTTCCCGGTCCTCTGATATTTGGGTTCACGCTGAACATTTTTCCTCCCAATTAGGTGATGGCATTAGTATGCCTCTTCCCCCCCAGGCTTCTGAACAGTCTGCTCTCACTTATTGTGGGGCGGACTGTCCATATCTGGACTAACAATTGTTGGATTCAGTTTTGCCTGTTTGGGAGTCGGAACCTGAATCCCCCATTCATCTTACCAATGCCTAGTATTCCCACCTTCATCTTACATTGACAACTCTTTTGTGGTACCTCTCCTCAACCTATCTCCTATCTGAAGCTCTTCACAGGAACCCTGAGGGGTTTTCCGTGGATGTCCTCTCCCTCCATTACTTCCATGTTGGCTCGCCTGTCGTCTTCAGCTCTGGCCCTGCAAACATGGTTTATGTGTTGTTGGTACCTTTTTGGTCATGATGCCATGTTTTTACAGACCCGTCTCCCAGCCCCTTATCTATGGGATCTTTGTATGGCCCCAATTTTGATATTTTTTGTGTTTAACACGATCCCGGAGTCTTTGGAGTGGAGGGTGGCTTCTATCCAACAACAATCCACCCTTTTTCATCTGGTGGCCCATTTGTCCCAGTCGGAGCCTCGCATGGCACCAATTTCTGTCTCCCAACTCTCCCCTTCCCAGGCCTTGCCTGTTCCTCCTTCTTGTGATGCCACTGTTCGTCGTTTTTCACGATGACACGTGGTACACCAACAATGGTTCTGGTGACTACCTGGTCTGATGACCTTCATTCATCAGTGGAACTCTTTCATCTCTGATGTTTGGATTCACCGAGTTTTGTCAGAGGGATTCTTCATACCCTTTCTTACCCTCCCTCCCTTGTCCTGCATGCCTGTTTCCTTTCCTCCGCTTCCTTGGGATCCCTTGTCATGCCAGTGTCTATCCAAAGCAGTACAAGACCTCCTCACACAACAGGCTATCAAACCTGCTCCATGTAATTTGTCAGGGTTTTACTCTTGCCTAAAAGAATGGGGACTGGAGGCTGGACATTGACCTGTCCCATCTCAACTGATATGTTCACATCACATGCTTCACCATGGAATACTACCTTACTCTGTAGAGGGATTTTCTCTGGGCCTTTGGATGATCAAGATGGACATCTCCAATGCTTATCTGCATATTCCCATATCGGAGCATTCTTGTCCATATCTTCAGTTTATCCATTGTGGAATGGTGTCCCAATTTCTCAACCTACTCTTCGGGCTGGCTTTGGCACCGTATGATTTTTTGTCAGGTGGTGTGAACCTTTGCTCTACATCTTCATGTCCTGGGGTTGTGCTTTCACTTTTACATTCACTCATTCCAAATGGGAGTCAGCCTGTCATATTTGTCAGTTCCTTCTCAAAGCTGCTCAGGTGGACTGGTTGATCAGATTGGAGAAGTCCTTCCTTCATCCTATCCAGTACTTCATTCATCTGAGTGTTTTCTTCAACACCCATCTCAGTTGGACCCAACCTTCTCCTCTCTGGCTCTGTTCTATGGAACTGGCTGTTTGGAATAACCTGTCTGCTCCTTCCCTTTCTGCTCTCAAAACTCTATTGTTTTGGGGGATGTGGTCTTCTATGACCCCTCAGCTGGACTCATATGCGATCCCTTCAATGGGTCCTCCACGACCAATGGAATCTTGCTCTGGATCACTTGGATACTCCTATAACCAACATTGTGGATGATGTCTGAAGCTGGTTGGACAAAGCTCATACATCGGCGGGCTTTGGATAATTTTCTTCCCATCTCAAAGACCGTTTGGTCATGATCCATTCCAACAATTCTACAGTGGTGGCTCATATCAACGACCAGGGTGGCACCCAGTCAAGATCCC